CGGAGGAGCGTTAAGAGTGGCCCCACCAAAGTATCTATGTGCAGTCGTCGCGACAGGGGAAATAACAAAAAACACGCGACGGCAGAGACATCTGCAAAATGGACCGATCCTGCACCCGTCATTCCTGGGTCAACCTACGACGTAGTGCCTAGACTTGAAAGGCTGAGAGTGCATGTCATACTGCGTAGCTTCGAAGACGTTACCCCGTCATGTACTGAATAGTACACGAGGCTCTCGCGTGGACAAATGGGTAGCCGCATGCCAGGCGATTCTGCATGAGATTCAGTTTTATTCCGTACTCCAACACATATTGCTTGCGGCCAGGATTTGCTCCCTTTCTTACAACCCGCTCAACCCTTGTCAAAACGCGGCTGGCACTGCAACATCATGCAAAAACTGGCTGCCATGGAAATTGCACTCGGCGTTTCCACGCGGATTCGCGCCTCGGTAGTGCTGGTCAGCCGCTATCCATCCCATCCACGATCCCCGGCTCATGCGCCGTAGTCGTGTCTTTATTACATCGTCTTGTTCAGCTGTCCCAGCAGCCGCTCGTCCCTGGTTTTGGTCGTATTACTCCGCTTGCCCCTTCACAGATGCTCTTGCCGTTTATCTGCCTTGTTTATTTCGTTCTGTCCTTCACTCTCTCCTTCTGTCGCTCTTGCCTCCTTTCGCAGTCCTCTTTCCACTAGCGCGAGAGTTGCCCCTGTAATCCCCCAGCGAGGCAGGCCCAGTCACACCCTCCTGCCTCGTTGCCTCCCCCTTTGCGCTCCTGCCCGTTGGCTCCTGCCCCAGTAACGGGGCCACTGACAAGCCAACCTGCACATCCCTCCCTTCCCTGCATCTGGGCCTGTGGGTTCGGGGTGTCTGTGCCTGGGATGTGCCTGTGCTCAATTCCTCTTGTGACTTGCTCCCCAAGTCCCGGGTCTCCTGTGCAATTTGCCGTTGATGCCCTTTTCCCCCTTCTTTTTGTCGTATTTTCTTTTCGCATCGTTTGCGTACGAACAGACACACACAAACTCGGCCGAATCCCGTCCTTTCATTCCACATTCGATTCTTCCTCGATAGCATCTTTGCCTTGTTTTTCACTTCTCAATACATCTTTCATTCATTCTTCTGCCTTGCGTTGACGCCTCTTAATAGCTGTCGTATTGTTTTTGAGCATCTCCATTCCGATCCTCTGTCTTATTTCGGCTCTTCTGAAACAGATCTGGCCACGAGAACGACACCATTGACAAAGTGCATTCATCGAACGAGTCGACGATGTCATTCTGCTGACCACGTTTGCCCTTTATTCTCGACCTCGTCACAGCATTTCCTTAGCGAATCGAATCCGCACCATCCGGCCACTCTCTTGATTGCACTTCATCTTCAGTCACCGTCACATTCGACAACAACGCCACCCAATGGCGAATCCAGAACCTGAGGCGCGTGTCGCCTCGCCGCCCGTGCCCGACGATGAACATACATTCCCGCATTTCCCGTCCACTCGGTCCGAAGCACCCGGAAACGCGCCGAGCATCATCTCCTCGCGCATGACCGACATCATGTCCGACGACGGCAAAGGTCTTGGCGCTGATGCTGGCGGTGCGACGTCTCTGCGGGCACAGGCGGCATCGCGCGCATCGGCACGTCTGTCGCAACAGCCTCAAAACTTCCAACCTCTCCGCCGCGGCCTGTCCGGAAAGCGCTCGAGCGCAGCAGGGAGCAGCCACAGCGGCAGTACGGCTGGAGTGGCAGCCTACGGCGGCCGCCCCGTCAGTTCGACAACTCAGCGCAGCCACGTTCCCTCGCTTACTTCGCATGCCTTCTTCCACCCGATGAGCTCCCAGAAGCTGCAGGCTCAGCGCGGCGGCGTCACACGGCCACGGCAGTCCCAGCTCGGCCTGCAACAGCCTCAACAGGCCAGCGCTGCTGAGTCGTCTGCTGCAACCGTTGGCTCGTCCTCTCAAGCCGCTGCGCAGCAGACCACCATGCCAACAGCACGACCCATCTCGCGCGGCTCCGAATACACCGACCAGATGACCGTGGACCGCATCACAGCGAACACCAGCCCGACCGGCGGCTTTTATGCCGCGGCCTCTCTCACAGACAGCATCCGGCCACTCCGCCAGCCGAGCCAGTCAAGGCCAGGCGGCCCAGCTGATGGTCTGACAATCCGAGTCGACAAGGCCCTCAACTCGGGTCACGTCGACAACATGCCGACTCCCGTGCGCACACCCAAGTCGTTCCGTTCGAGCTTCATGCTGCCCGGTAAGGGCAACAGCGGCGGCGAGTCCGGCGTGAACCGCGACATCCAGGGCGGCGAGAAGCTTGAGTCCGTCGCGTCGACACCCCAGCGCAGCCCCTCGGCTACCTCCCATCCTTCGAATGGCACGCATGTCAATAGCGGCAGCGTAGTGGGTGACCGCAGAAAGGCTGCAAGTGGCGGCGCTGGGACTGCCGGTAACGACGGTGGCCTTGGCGGCAGCAAGAAGGTCGTGTCTGGCAAGAACTACCAGTTTTTCCAAGGAAACACGGTGTTCTGCTTTGGCGGTCGTTTCGAGAACACAAAATCCCGGCCCATTAACATTGCCACCGGTGGCCTGGTCGTGATTCCCTGCATCCTCTTCTTTGTCTTCTCCGCGCCATGGCTGTGGCACAATGTGTCGCCTGCTATTCCCATTACGTTCGCGTACACTTTTTACATTTGCCTGTCGTCCTTCTTCCACGCTTCGGTGTCCGATCCAGGCATCTTGCCCCGCAACCTGCACCTTTTCCCACCCCCGGACGAGAACGACGATCCTCTGCGCCTGGGTCCCCCAACCACCGACTGGGCGCTCATCAAGTCCAGCGAGTCCTCTACGGCCGCTATGGAGGTTCCTGTGAAATACTGCCGGACCTGCAACATCTGGCGCCCGCCCCGCGCCCACCACTGCCGCATGTGCGACAACTGCGTCGAGACCGCCGACCACCACTGCGTCTGGCTGAACAACTGCGTCGGCCGCCGCAACTACCGCTTCTTCTTTACTTTTGTCTCCTCGTGCACCGTGCTGTCGCTGTACCTGATGGGCGCCTCCCTCGCTCAGATCTTGGTCTACAGCCACCGCGAGCACGTCTCGTTTGGCGCCGCCATCGGCCACTTCCGCGTTCCCTTTGCCATGTTCATTTACGGCATCCTCGCCTGCAGCTATCCGGTGCCGCTCATGGGCTACCACTTGTTCCTGATGGCCCGTGGCGAGACGACCCGAGAGTTCTTGAACTCGCACAAGTTCCCCAAGAAGGACCGCTACCGTGCGTACACGCAGGGCAGCATGTTCCTGAACTGGATTGCTGTGCTGTGCCGCCCGCGCCCGCCAACGTACATGCGCTTCAAGAGCCCTCACATGGAGGGTGACCAGCGCCTGTTCCCGCAGACGACCAAGTCGTGGCTGGCTGCTCGCAAGGACCGTGCCAACAATGCCAATGACGACGCCAACACCGCCACGGACAACACATTCAGCAAGGGCGGCAACGACCTCGAGATGCAGCACGTCAACGGCGTCGTCGGCAACGCGAATGCTGCGGCCGGCACGGCACCCTCGACGGCAGCCGGTGCCGAACCGTTCACACCCGGCTTCCAAGGACCCGTGGCGTTACGCAACAGCGCAGCACAGTAGTTTGCATTGCTTTCATTATCTACTATTTCTTTATTCGTTTTATCGTTGTCTACTCACCATTTCCTTGCTTTGTACACTTTTTCTGTCCTTTTTTTCCTTTCAAAATACCCTTTCTGTTATTCACTTTTCTTTTTTTTTTCCCTTTTAAAACCTTTTATCTCTATCTTTTTTTGAGCCAGCGAGTTTCATTCCGTCTATCCTCGTCTCATAAGCCCTCTATATTTCTTTTGTCGAAAGTTATTTTTTTGTGCTTAGGTATATTATCCGCCCATTTCCCTTTCTTCATGCGCTGCTCGTCTTATTCTCCCTTTGTTATATTTATAATGTAGTGTCACAGGTGGGAGGGAACAAAAATCTGGATTTCTTATTTCTTACCTTTTATCTCATTAGTTGTAGTCATGGTCAAGGTACATACAAACCCAGGATTGCGTAAGAGCAACATCCCGGATGTGTAAAACAGAAGAAAAAGAACAGAATACAACGGTATCAATTTAGACCACGATTCGATATTCCAACGTCTTCACGAGGAAGCAACTTAGCACGTTCAGTGTTCTCTGTAAATTTGTATCGCAGCTCTATATAACATCTCTACATGCACCAGGTGTTGCTGCGAAAAACTTGAGGGTGCAAGACTGTGAACCTGTGATTGGACACGGTTGTTGTGGGCCACACATTGACACTTGAAAGACAATATGATAAAGGAGACACCGAGGAGCGAGGTCGAAGATGAAGCAGAAGTGATATTAATTCCCATCATCATTATTACGCCGGAAAGGTGAAGTTAAATATGAAATAAAAAGTGAGGTGCTCTGCCAAGTAAAAGAGAAGCAACGCAGACCAACGACACTTGCGGCAAACAGAACCCCAATAGAATACTCAACATTATTAGTTGGCCTCGCATCATAAAACGAAATGAAACAAAACAAGGAATACATAAATAACAAGGGGCCACCCTGGTGTGAAAATGTGATATAACAGGACAAAAAAACAAAACAAAAAACCTTGTGTGAAAAACATAAAATGAGAAACAAAAAAGGCATTCAAACGTCGGCTTGGTTATCAGCCGGCTTTGGCAGCTAGTATTCGTCTACAAGCGGCCGGAAGCTGCCGTCGGTTGGTGCTTGCCGTGGCTGATGAGTCGTAGGTGTTGGTGGTATGAAAGCTGCCCAGTATGGGTTTCTTGACGCAGGAAAGGAAGCACAATGGCCAGCTGTGATATTGCCGGCACGGACTTGGGTGCACGTCGTTTTGTGTTTCTTGATGTTGCTCGTCTGTCGTTCCATCACCACCAGTACTGATCATCCAGGTGCCACCACCATCATCGATGCTGCCGTGTACCAGTCCACGTATCATCCAAAGGTGGTGCTACCGCTCGGGGATCGGACTCTTAGCTAACCGCCCGCCGGCGCTCACACGTTTTTGTAGTCGCGCCTCCTTCTCCCGGGCCAAGCGCTCCATGGCTCCCACGCCGGACGAGGGTGTCGACGATGGGTGGGCGCCCGCCACAGCACCGCTGCCAGTTTTGCTTCCACTGTTGCCGCTGTTGTTGTCTAAAATGTTCAGGCCACCCACACGACCACGTTTGGCCTCGACGTACTGCTGGGCACTGCGGCTGAGCGGGAACGCTGGCAGTGCAGCTGGAATCTGTGCGCCGTTCTGCAAAAGGAGCTCGGCAACAGGGAACGGCACCTGTTTGGACTTGGGATTGGCCGGCCCTGCGTTCGCACCAGACGTTCCTGGTCGTGGTGTGGTCATGGGCGACGGCGTAGGAGAGGGAGATGCCGGGTCGGCGGCCGCGAGGGCAAGGTAGACGACGTGCGTACCGCGTGAAAGGTCGGTGGCGTTGACATTGGCCTTGAGCGCAAGCGCATAGATGACGTGCTGAATGTCGTTTTTCTTGACACTGGCGAGCAACGTCTCGTCGGCCGTGGAGTAGTGAGACAGTGTGGCGCTGATGGGCTCAATGTAGGCGCGGTCGACGTACTTGGCCGTGATGAATCGCAAACGCTGCTCACGGTTGGCAGTGGGCGTGAGCTTGGCGGCCGGCTCGAGCTTGGCCTCCCAGACCATGTTGGCGACGCGATTGCCGACGAGCAGCAAGAGTTCGATAATATCGGTGGTAAACGAAGTAATGTCGAGCGTAAGCGAGCGCACCTTGCTGATATGGGTACCGAGCGAACGGTGAATGCCGCTACACTCGATGCACAGGATGATGGCGAGGTTGATGGACACCCACTCGACCTTGGCGCCGGACCCGCAGTCAGCACACCAGCAGTTGCCGCGGTCGTTGTCGCGGAGCATTTGTAGCAGCTTGTCCGGATTTTCTTCGTAGCTGCTGCTGGGAGCACGGGGCGCACTGGGCCGCCCACCGACGGTGATACGCCGCGTCGGGATACCCGTGTTGCCACTGCCACTGCTGCTACCACCCGACATGGCCTGGGCCACGGCGCCACCAACAGCGCCGATGCCGTGACCGTCACGACCGCGGTGACCGTGGGTCAGAGACGTGCTTTTATTGGTGAATACGGAGCCAATGTCACGGCTGGGGAAGTTCGACGAGCCGTTGTCGGTTGGTACGACGGGGGCCGCACTTGAGCGCTCACGGCCTTCCATGGCGCTTTGAAGGGCGTTGTTGATGGACGAGATCCAGCTGTTCATGTCCTCTTCGGACGTCGCTTGGTAGACGCGCTTGAACTGGGGCGTGATCACTTCGAAAGTAAACCGACGCTCGGCATTCCGTGCCTCGCGAACCGAGGCCATGCGCAGATCAATGGGGTCCATGTGCAGATCGAGCTTCTGCTTCCAGTTGCTGTACTCGGACAGCTTGCCTTGGTCAAGGACGATCCAGAACTTGTGCCAGCCCTGCTTATTCAGTGCCGAGCGAGGATCGACATGGCCGCCCGGACGGTTCAATGCCCACAGAAGACCCTCCTTGCGCTGGTTTCCGTTCTTCTCCAGATTGACCGTCTGAGCTGGGTCGCGCTCTTCGAGGTCACGGATGCCCTTGAACTTGGAGTTTTGTGGCGGGCTGCCGACTGAGAGGTGGTGAGAGCCCAAGCTGCCCGGTGACCGCGACAGATCCGTGGTCGTAGCACCGGCCGTACCAGGCGCTGCACCAACGCGCAGTTGCGAGCCCGTGCTGTCGGCGCGGCCAAGCTCCGAATCCGAGTTGGACTGCGCCGAGCTGGCATTGTTGGCGATGGTGGCGGTTGTTGATTGCCCGCCATTGGTGCCGTTGTTGACGACGCCAACGCTATTGCTGTTGACCGTTGGTGCCGTAGAGAAAGTGTCGGAGTCGGCGTAAGGTGCGTTGCTGGGTGCACCGTTGCTCTTTTCAAGAAGGCGCCGCTTTTCTTCACGCTCACGACGCTGGTACTGGTATTCCTTGTCGGCAAGCTGGACTTCGTTGGAGAGGGCCTCTAGCTGGGGCAGCAAGACGTCAACCTTCTTGGCTGTGTTGAGGAACGATTTGGCCTGACCGTCGGCGTAGCGCGTCAGGTGGGACAGCACTTCTTGCTCTTTGCGACCGCCTGACAAATCTTGCATAAAGGATGAGTAGTCGAAGCGTTTGAGCTCAAAGTTGCGCCGCTTGGTCTGGTACTTGGTGTCGCTCTCTGCCAACTTCTTAGACTTCAGAGAGTCTTGCCGCTGGCCAAGATAGCGTCCGACATACGCGTAGTAGTCCTTGCTCTCTTCTTCAAAGTCGCGCTTCTTGGCCTCAGCCTGCTTGATGTCCCAGGTGTACAGCTTGGTCAGGGGGTCTATGACGATACGTTGGAGGTTGAATGTGTTCTGGCGTTCGTACGCCAGGATTTCGCGGGCGATCTTGTCAAAGTAGTGGTCGATGGCCGGCTGAACGGCGTTGGCGTTGGTTGACGACGTCTCTTTCAGGGCGTCAATGAACGAAGAAAATGCCTCGTTCGAGTCCACCATCGTCGCATACGCGTGCTCGGCGCGCTTGATGACCTTCTTCATTTGCATGCGCATGTTTCCAGTCTTTTGCTCGAGAGCCTTGATGGTTGCACGGAACAAAGGGCCGTCGTCGGCCACAGACACGTCATCGCCGGGCCGAGGACACGAAACGTCCACCTTGACTGGCTCTGGAGGTGGCGGCGGCGCAGTAGTTGGTGCGGGCTGTGCCTGTAAAGTTGCTGCCGCTGTGGCTCCGGAAGCGCCGATGGGATCGGGTATGCCGATCCTTGGTGAGTTAGGTACATCCTCTATCGCTTCGATGGTACTGCTGAGGCGCGAGTCGACGGACTGTGCGGATGCGACGCGGATCTTGGGCGGGGCGCTGAGGAGGAAGGGAGGTGTAGGCGAGCTGGGTGTAGGATGAGGGTTTGTGTCTAGAACGTTAGCAAGACGTGGCCATTTTTGTCTCACATTCGAGCGGGAGAAGGACATACTCGATACGAAGAAGGAGAAGCTGGCCAGGGTGTTTAAGCTATGCGCACGCTGGTTGTACTCCACAAAGCTGCACGAGTTGCGCCAACCACCGCCCTTGTCCTCCAAGTTCTTGGGCGGTTTCCACCGCCATGACCAGTCAAAGGTCACGGATGGGCTGCCACCAGTGGAAAAGTCTCCGACGAGCTCTACATTGGAGTTTTTATGGAGGTTCGGGTCGGCGTGGAACTCGCGCGTAAGCAGGTTGTCCACCTCGCGCAAGTTGGATGCCTGTACGAATGTGAGGCCGTTGATCACGGTGTCAATGGCAGACGCAGCACCCGCTGCAGCGGCAGTGCCAGAGGAGGTCCCATTGGCGTCGGATGCGCCAGAGTTGGCAGCGGCTGATGCTTGCGTGACGCTGCTGGCTCCCGTTGCTGTTGACGCGCCGGCTGACGTCCCTGCTGTTGCGCCGGCGGTGGCTGCATTTGTAGCGTTTGTGGAGCTCATGGTGCTGGCAGATGTCGGTGTCTGTCGTATAACGAATGTAAAGGTGAATGTCAGCTCTTCATCGTTGGAGAGTTTGAGGAGAAATGAAGGGCCGGGCGCGGCGGAGGCGTCGGTGTCCTGCGGGTGGTATTAGTAAACAAAGTGTCGAAAGTGGCCGGCAGCGGGACGGACGAACCTGCACAAAATCGAGGGGTGCATTGTCGCCAAGGGACCGCGTGGCCGAGACGCGAGTTGCTGGAAAGGCGTTGGGCACAATGTTCACGGAAGTGCGCCGGCGGGCGGATGTGATGACGAGCGACGAGATGGATACTGTGCAAATGAGGGTTGTTAGTCCGATGGGCGGTTATGCAAGGGTTCGGAGCAGCGCGAGACAGCTGTAGTGGTAAAAAAACCGGCTGTGGCAGCGGGATCATGCTGAGGGTGACAAGACGCAAAGATGAAGTTCGCGATGCTTCGCGTCTCATGTCTCGTGTCTCGTGTCTCGTGTCCTCCACCGGCAACGGCCCGGGAGCGTGCCATCTTATAACTTGTCCCCACTACTGCTGTCCCATGCTATACTTTCTCGTCCGTGTGTCGCTGCAATGGTCGTTCTGCTGCTTCTGGGATTGTCTTCTTACATCGGTTTTGGTCGCGCAAATAGAGGACACCGCCCTCGTCGGGGCGGCTCGAAGTGATGCCCATGGCGGGCGGATGCGAGGGGTTGAGACAGACGAAAACGAAACTCGGCGCGGCCGGGACGAAGGGTAAAATCTGCAAAGGGACGGTTGGAATTCCGGGAGACCGGCCACGGTATGTGATGCTTGGTTGAAAATGTCGAAATTCGAAACTGGGGAGATGTAGGATAAGTAACGCGAACCGCCTGCTTGAGGAAGGACTGCTAATGAAGGACGAGGAGTTGGTGGAAGGAGCGGTTATCAATACAGAGAAGGCGGAAGGAGGGGATGATCTAGTGATGGGGAACTGGAAAAGGGCAGGAGCCAGGGGATCCGCTGTGGAGGTCCTCTGTGTCCTCAAATGCGGCACTGTCGCACCTTCCCTCCGTGGCGATAACCAGGCTAAATACCCCAGACTGTGGAATCACGTGATTCTCATGAAATGGAAAGCAACTTTTGGCTCGGGGTCTACGTAAACCCCTAAAACAAGGGGTCTGGTGCACACGAGGTCGCTAAAGAAAATCACCCAAACTGTGAGACCGTGCGTGGTGGCTGCTGAAGAGGTCAGCAGGTAGGTGCGATGTTGGGTGCAATAGGCAACACTCAATGCCTTCGCCACCAAGGCTGGTATTGCTCTTGTCTTTGCCGCGTATTGAGGAAGGAGCGAATGCAAGCTCTTAAAGTGGGACGCGTCAAGGCCATTTCGTCATACCACAGTGAAAAGGAAGGAAACATTTCGGTAAAATGAAGTATTCTCGCCTCCCAACTACTGCTATAAAAGAGAGACGAAACTGGCAAATGCAGAGTATTATAGTGCTTTTAGTCTTGGCTTGGCTTCATATTGCGTTTGTTGTTTATTTATATGCATCATGACTTGTGCCTGCCAAGCCTCAACATACTACATCATCCCTTCCTTGACTCCTTCGATATCAGCCGCAGCTCCTTCCATCGGGTGCCTTTGTTACTTCCTAAATTGGTTGTCACCGCCCCAAAAAGGAAGGGTCAAGGGAACAACACAACATACGCAAATCTGCTCGTGACCTGTCTCGACAGCAAATGACGATCAGCGAAAGACAGCACCTGGTCATTAGATCTAGAAAATGGCGATTTGGCTGTTTTGTCCTGGCTCGGCGCGAGCAACGTACGTAAATAACGCTAACTGCTAACAGTGGCATGAATCTGAAGCTTGGTGGGTGATGTAATTTGACTGATTGACAGTGGCCCGAAACCTGTTTACAGCGACTCAATCTGCCCAATTTTGCGGCGGTAGAGCTCCGTTACAGGCATGCGCGCCCGAGTTCCAGCACGTCTCTATTTATATCGCACCTTGTTAGGCGCATGTCAGCGGCGTTCCCAAAATTACAGGCCTGGCCGAAAGGGGGAAAAAGGGGGGTGGATGGAGGGGCTAGGACGCGATCTGGCGCACTGGCGCCCAAACTCCGCCACAAGCTGGGCTCCGTTCACATACGTCGTACGCAGCTTCCCTGCTTCCCATCCCCATAACAGCCCACTACAGACACTTGGGTGCACAGGGGGCCACAGAAATAGACGACATCTCGTGTTGTTTCGTCGTCTGCCCCCATTCTGCCGCCAACCCTCTTGCCAGGAAACATCGTCGCTTTCGATTTTCTTTTCTCTGTGGACGCTGCCTACCTGCGTTTTCTTTGTTTCATTCGTTTTAATACCCCCGCGTTCGCGAATTCACCACAGTATTGCTCGGCGTTTTCCGTCCATATTGATATCTTTGATCTCCTCGACTTTCACGACTTTTCCGATTTGTTTCCACCCCTCGGACGTCCCACATTCAATCTCCTACTGCCGACGACTTTTGGTCTTCTCACTTGTCGCCCTGTTCAACTCTACGTCCCGGTATTCCCTGGCACACTTTAGACGCCGGCCCGACCGACAACCCCTCCCGCCAGATCGAGGGCTGATCGACTCTGGCAGACTTGCCAGCCTTGCCGGCCATGTCGACAGCGTCCAACCGGACCTCGCGGCTCGACCGCGGCAGCCTACATAACTCGCGGATGAGCACCATGAGTGGCCGCCGGCAACGTGCCGGCTCGCGCGCCGCCCGGGTTACCGAGGTGCAGTTCGAGGAGGGCTATAGCTATGCCCTCCGCATCGCCTACCTCAACTACTTGCTGCAGCCCAAGAAGAAGAGAAAAGAGTACGTGGCGGCACCCAAGCCCGTCCGCACACACACGGCATCCAACAGCGTCGGCGAGCTCATGAAGGAGTTTGTGCCGTCCGGGTCATCGTCGTCGGCGGCCAACATGAAGTTGCCCCACAGCCTGCGGCAGGCCCTCGAAAAACGCATGGAGGGCGTGCTGCGTGGCACCGAAAAACTGCCGGGATATAGCGACGCGGCGGTCAAGCGCACGTTTGGCGAGGCATACACCGCGTTTACGGCTGACAACTTCCGCAAGAGCATTGACAAGGACCGCAAGATCGAGCCCCTCATTCTCATTTTCTACACGTCCGCAAGCAAAGCCCAGGGCCGCGGCAAGGCCGCCGACGACGACTCGTGGAAGCCGCTTGTGGACCGCCACGTTGCCCTCTTTGTGCGGCTGGTCAGCAGCCTGATGCGCGATCTGGGCAGCGACCAGGGCCGGCCCGAGTTCATGGGTCGCCTGGCAACACTCGAGAAGAAGCTGCTCACCAATGACCAGGACCTGTCTCTCGACACCAACCAGCCGGGCGAGCACAAGACGATCGAGGTGGAGATCCCGTTAACGTACGACGTCAAGGATATGCCCATGGTGCAGACCGTCGCCCGCATCTTTGGGCGGACGCAGAGCGAAGTGCAAACGGACATTGACCGCGACTTGACTGTATGGACCGAGGAGGCAGCCCTCAAAGACCTCAAGACGTACCAGCACCAGCTCACATCAAATATGCCGGGTGCGCTGCGCAGCGGGGACTTTGATCTGGATGCGGCATACGAGGAGTGGAAGAAGACCGAGGTCCACCAGCTGGCGCAGATGATGCTGGATTTGCTGACCGTGCGACCCGACCTTGCCAAGACATCGACAACAAGCGGTGGTGCTGCATCTTTGGGTGGCAACGGTGGAGACAAGCCGCTTCCGATTCGGCCGACGTCCATGTATGGAGAGGACCAAACTTACGCAGACATTAGCCGCATGATCTCGTCCCATCCAGACCCTGTGGCGGCCGCCTCGGTCGTGAATCAGTTCGGGTATGACGGCTCTATGGGCTTCTCGTCATTGTCCTTGGATGACGGCGCCAGTGGTAGCAGCATCCGCGCCGTCGAAGAGACGCCCGATTTTACATATATTCCGTCGGACCCGCGGTCCTATTACAAGTTTGTGCTGAAGCACGCCATGTCGTACGACCAGCTACACCCGGACGAGGGGACGATTGTGTCGGAGGCTGTCCCGCTGCACCGATCGTCGGTGGACTTGTTGATTGAGTTGGCGGTGCACTGGCGGATACCGCAGTTCTCGCGCGAGGTGCTGTTGCTCGACGTCGCATCGCAAAAGTACCTGGATCTCGAGATGCGTGCCGAGGAGGTGTACGAGGTGTTTGAGGATGTCAAAGACAGTGCCTCCCTCGATCACTTGCCGCACAACAAGAAACCGCCGCACATTCAAATGTTTGGCCAGCCACTGCACAGCATCGAGCGCAGCCACTGGGCGTCACGCGACTACGCCTCCTACCAGCAGATCCTGGTCAAGATGCAGGAAGCTATGCTGCGCGAGCTGCTGGAGGTGGCCTCGCAGTGCTACGAGCCGAAACCGCAGTCCATCGGCCCGACGCTGATGTTCATTGAGAACCACATCCACAGCGACGACGCCTTCCCGCAGCGGCCCGAGGTCATTGCCCAGTTCGCCGAGGCGCTGACAGCGACGATGCGCGACCGCGCCGCTGGCTTGTATCGCGAGTTCTTGGACACCAACATCCCGCGGGAAGAGGACGACTGGGATTTTAGTCATGTGGTGAACCTGGGCAAAGCGGTGGTGGCCGTGTGCGACCGCACGCGCAAGCGGTACCGCAAGAACCCGGAGATTATCGGGGTCAGCCCCTTTAAGGAGCTCGTGGGCACCATGTTCCCGAGCTTCGAGGCCGACGCCAAGGCGATCATTGAGCGAATCGTGCAAAAGGCCAAGGACCGCGGTCTCGAGGTCAACCTGCAGGACGGCTTCGACCTGTACAAGGAGCTCACCGACATTCGCAAAATCCACGTCGAGTCACTGCCGGGCAAGCCGTTTGCCTTCCACGTCGAGGGTCTGCTCGAAGAGTTTGTGTGGCGGTGGATCAAGGGCGCGCAGGAACGCATGGAGAACATTGTCGAGGAAGCCATCAAGCAGGACCAGTTCCAAGTGCGCGTTCAACAACCGGGCGACGTTCCGACGGACGATGAGCGGCACAGCGTGTCTATCATCGACACGTTCCAGGCCTTCAACCAGAGCGTCGACCAAATCTACCAGCTGGAGTGGGACGACGATACGCACCATGCCAAGTTCATGACGGCACTGGCCAAGGCCTTCACGGCAGGGATCGGGCGGTACTGCGAGATTGTCGAGCAGCGCTTCGCCAAGGAGATGGACCGCCCCTCGGCGCAAGAGCTGGCGGACGCTACGAAGACGACACAGGAGCGCTGGATGCAGTATGCCAAGGACGCATTGAGCAACAAGGAAAAGGTCGAGCCGTTCCAATTCTACGCCGAGTCGTTTGTCAAGCTCAACAACATTGAGTACGGCATGCAGGCGCTGGATGCCCTGGAAAAGGCGGTCAACGTCGATGGGTGCGCCGAGGTCTTGAAGCGGGAAAACGGGCCCGCCAAGCCCGTGGACCGGCGTAACACCAAGTACGTGTTTACGATCAAGATTGTCGAGGCCGAGGACCTCAAGGCGTGCGACCCGACGGGCACGAGCGACCCGTACGTCGTGCTGGGCGACGAGTACCAGAAGCGGCTCGCCAAGACGCGCATCATTATGCGCAACCTCAACCCGCGCTGGGACGAGTCGGTCGAGATCACGGTGTCGGGTCCGCTCAACATTATCGCCACGATCTGGGACTACGACACCTTTGGCGACCACGACTTTGTGGGCCGTACGTCACTGAAGCTCGACCCGCTGCACTTTAGCGACTACCTGCCGCGCGAGTTCTGGCTGGACCTCGATACGCAGGGCCGGCTGCTTCTGCGCGTCAGCATGGAGGGTGAGCGCGATGACATCCAGTTCCATTTTGGCAAGGCGTTCCGCCACCTCAAGCGAACGGAGCGTGACATGGTGCGCAAGGTCACGGACAAGCTGGTGGCGTACATCAATGCGTCGCTGTCGTACGAGGCCCTGAAGAGCCTGCTGAACCGAGGGTCGCTGCTCGCCACGTCCGTGGCGGCGCTGTGGCAGAAGCGCACCGCGTCCAAGACGCAGCCGCTGACACAAGCCGACATTGAGAACACGCTGCAGCCGCTGTTTACGTACTTCAACGAGAACTTTGCCATTATGAACCAGACGCTGACGCACGCCACCATGATGGCCGTCATGACGCGGCTGTGGAAAGAGGCGCTCATGGCCATTGAGGGCCTGCTCGTGCCCCCTCTGTCCGAAAAGCCGTCCACGCAAAAGCCCCTGACACAGGCCGAGATTGACGTCGTCTACAAGTGGCTCGAGATGCTGTTTGACTTTTTCCACGCGCGCAACGACCACGGCGAGGTGCTGGGCGTGCCAGCCGACATTCTCAAGTCGCCCAAGTACCACGAGCTCGCGTCGCTCAACTTTTTCTACTTTGAGACGACCGAGAATCTGATACGGACGTCGGAGCGCATGGCCGCGGCCACGGCACAGCGCGCCCAGCAGCAGCTGCAGCAGCAGCAGCAACAGCTCCCTGCCAACGGCATCGTCCCGGGGCTGACCATGTCGGGCCGGCACTTGTCGGCGCCGCCCGGGTTTGGGCCGGGCGCGGCCGGAGGCGGCGCGTTTGCCAGCATGGGCACGATTCGCCGCGGCAAGAGCATCATGATGAGCCGCAACCTGGGCACGATGCGGCGCGCCAAGGAAGAAAAGCGCAAAGACGCGCAGGCCGACCCGTCGGACGACATGATTCTGCGTATTCTGCGGATGCGGCCGGAGGCAGCCATGTACCTCAAAGAGCGGCACCGGCAGAAGGAGCGCATGGCGGCGCACCAGGCGGCGGCGATGATTGTGCGCCAGAGCATCAGCCAGGGGTGGACGGGCCCGGCGTTTGGCGGAGCCATGTACAGCCGCAACAACCTACCGCAGCGGTAGGAGGTATCATGTGACGAGGTTGGAAAAAAGCCAGCGAATACTAACGACGAATGATTTTTGTTTCTTTGGATTACTGGGATGATATTTATTGTTTCATCTGACACCTTTTTTGGCATGTTTGGTCTAGCTTTCGGGTATTCGGCAGGGCCACCGTTTCGGGAGCATCTAGCAGTTTTGATTTGATTTGGGTTTGCTTTTGCTCCAGGAGTCTTGTCCTTTTTATGTTTTGTTTTCGGAGTAATTACCCTTTTTGCGCACACATGTTCCTCGTCTTCACAGCGTCTATCAGCGCTGCAGTTTGAATGCTTCTTTGTTCTTTTGCTTCTTCTCTATTTCTTTACGATTTTTGGGAATGTATCACGAGCGTCTCGAGCATCTAATGAATGCATGGACTTTTGGTCAATGCTAGTACACTTCTGACGTAGATTGCAGTTCGGTGCATGTTTCCGGCGCTTCCACCACTAAGTCCGGCCCAGCCCCCTTCCGCCGAATGCCGGCGTTGCCATTGGTTGGTTCGCTCGTGTCAGCCAACGTCCCCTTTTGTCATCGTCACATGTAGCACGCGAAGCCGACGTTGATAAATAGTCTGCCCGTCGTCCAGACTTGTCTCGTGCCCTGCCTTCTTGTCATTTCTGTTCTCGACCGTCGCCGCTTCCAGTCCGCATCAACAACGACCTCATCTCATCTCATATCGTCGTCCGCCTCCTCGCCCACGATGTCTCTTGTCCACACCGTCCTCTTGCAGTTCAAGGAAGATGCTGCTCCTGAGAAAGTCAAGGACGTGAGTCGGACGACACCCCCACGTTTTTTTTTTTTTTTTATTATGTGCTCGTCCACCGCTAACAGACCAGGCCTGCGATCGCTTCTTGGCTCTCAAAACGGCCTGCCTCCAGGCGGCCACGCAGCAGCCCTACATTCTGTCCATCAAGGGCGGCCGCGACAACTCGGCCGAGGGCCTGCAGGGCGGGATCACGCACGGATTCGTGGTGGAGTTTGCCACGGCCGCGGACCGCGACTACTACGTGAAGAACGACCCGGCGCACCTGGCGTATGCGGCGTCGCTGCACGGGCTGGTGACCAAGGCGGTGGTGGTGGACTTTGCCGACGGAGTATACTAGGCTGGGCCGTGGAGAGTGCCAGAGGTATAAAGGGCTTCCTCTCGATGTAGAATGCAATTGAATATAAAACAGTAATCTATAAAAGCATATCGCACTATATCACGAAATGAAAGAAAAAAAACCATACAAAATAGTATGCCAAAGTCGTGTCAATGTCATCCGTAATTCGTGGGCGCTTTGTGCCACTGCATCCGTCTCTTATTACGGGATATGAAGTCGCCGCAAGATGTCAAGCCTATCTTGTCAAGTCAATGCCCGCCCTCTGGGCGTATCCCCTTCTCCTCTCCATCACGCGTCCGCTTCGCTTGTCGGGATGGCGGTGTACACGAGCGGCTGCCGCTCGGCATCTTGCCAGCTGGCAAGTCGTGTTTTCTGCTTGCCAGCCTTGTTGCTGCGCTGCCTGCTCTGTTTGACAGCGGCCGCCTCGTCGCGCCGCCGGTCGCGCCAGAGCAGTACCTGGATGGCGACGGTGACGAGCACCATGAGGATTTGCAGCGTAATGGACCACGTGTAGCCGCGGCGGGCGGCGGGGAAATCGGTGGTGCGCCAGACAAAGTTGGGCGCGAGAGCCTGCAGGGCATACGCCAAATCATTGGCCATGGCGACGATGAGGGCACGCTTCTCGGTGTCGGCGGAGCAAATCTCGTTGATCCAGATGAGGATGAGCGGGCCGGCGCCGCCGCCAATGTCGCTGAACCAGTAGACGACTTTGCGCGCGTGGATGTTCTCGTAGAGCGGCATTCGGAGGAACGCCATCGCAAACCCGACGTGGATCACGGCGCCAATGTAAATAAACGGCCAGCGACGGACGGAGCCACGCAGGGCGTCAGAGAGCCAGCCCCAGACGAGGGACATGGCGATGAGGATGCCGGTGCAGACCAGCGGGACTGTCATTGTCAGCGCCGCACGGCGGGACGGATTGATGCAGCAACAACGGTGGAGAGAAAGACGTACGACTGTTGATCTGGCCAATGGTAAAGGACACGCCCGGCACCGGAGGCGGGTCGGCATTGAAGCTCTTGAGCCAGTAGCCCATGGCATTTTGGTAGCCGCCGTTGTTCCACAGAATGTAGAGCAGCGGCAGCAAGTACGTGTGCCAACTGCGGACGATGCGGCGCGCTTTCTCACGGGTCCAGGGCTGTTTGCCCGCGCGGCCAATGGCCTGCATGCGGTCCACAGACAGCTGCTGCTCCGCTTCGGACAGCCACCAGGTGCGGTCGCCGCTTTGGGGCAGGTGCGGGAAGAAGATGTAGCCGAGGAGGGCCAGTGGAAGTGTAATGAAGCCTGGGGTTGTCAGCGGCGGAGACGAACGTCAACCACGGGAATGCTTGGACTGGACGTACCATCAACAACAAACAGCCAGCGCCCTAACAAAGTCAGCGAGACGTCGGATATATGCGACGAGAAAACAATAGATGGGGTTACTTACACCCCGACAAGCCGTGCACCCCGTGCAGCCGCTTGTAGGCGGCCGCCTGCAGGAACCCGCTAAACAACTTGCCCACCGAGCCGGACAGCCAGAAGAGCATCGTCCGCTTGCCCAGCTCCGGCGGCGTGTAGATTGACCCCAGCAGATAATGGATGCTCGGGTAGAACCCCGACTCAAACAGCCCCACAAAGAACCGCAGCAGGTACAGCGCGTGCGGCGACTGCACCGTCGCGGCGCATACCGTCGCCAGCCCCCAGCCGACCTCCAAGGACGGGATCACCCAGCGCGGGCTGACGCGCGTGATGAGCAGCGTCGCCGGGATCTGGCCGAGCACGTAGCCGGCCGTCCAGAGCGACGTGCTCGTCACCAGCTCGTTGCCGTCCATGTGCAGCTCTTCCTTCATGCCGGACAGAAAGGCGTTGTACACGTTGGTCTGGTCAAGCGTCTTGAGAAAGTAGCCGATGGAAGCAAACGTCAGCACGACCGCGTCGACCTTGTGCAGCAGACGACGCTCGGTCGGCGGGCGGTCCCACGTGTCCCAGACGTAGCTGCGCCATGTGGCATGGGGAGCCGGCGTGGTGGGACGCGACGGGTGCTTGTTGTCGTCGTCGAGGTCCAGATCGAGGTCAAGGTCGAGGTCGACGGTCGAGTTGCTCCGGCTGCTCTCGCCGCCGTCGTCTAGCAGCCGCGCCGAGTCGAGGCCGTCCTCATCTCGTTGGTAGCTACGCATGGTCGGTAGTGGTTGGAGACAGATGCTCGTCGTGTTGTCGTCGGGCCTGCCGTGCTCGTGTCGTCCGTCCTGCTCGCTTGGCTCGTCATACACGTCAAAGTCGTTTTGAGCCATCACGAAGGGCCGGCGATGGCACTGCGGCCATACTCATACCGATGTCGTTATGGCCCTGCGTGCTTGCATGCGTGCTTGCATGCGTGCGCCTGTGTTGTCCATTACAAACCAGGCATAGACTCTCTGCCACAGCATGTCACGGGCACAGACAAGCCCGCTGACCGCTGTCTCATGTTGCTGCTCTTGTGCTATTTGTGCCATTTCGTGCTATTTTGTGCCATTTTGGTGCTGCTCTGCTGCGCTGTTCCGAGTCGTCAAATGGGCAGGCGCCCCCTGACGCAGATGTTGCCATATGCCGTTGCGGTTGCGTTACCCACTAGCACACCACCTCATAGGCGCAGGAAGGCGCGAAAAGAGCTTCATGCGACGGGATTAGGGAGGAAGGAGCGACTTCACAACATGCAACAAGCGGGGTTATTGAGCGCAGCTCGGTTTTCCACATAAAAGAAACACAACAGCTGGCGATCTACGATCCTTCAGGGCTGGCGCCGTACCTTGTTGCGACTCTGATTACATTTGTCAGGTTTTATCATTTGAAGCCCGTGTAAGTGATGTGTATGAGGCAACGTGTGTATATAGACGCATGAGCTGAATCCAAAGCGGACGTTTGGTATTCCCACAGTTCCTCACCAGATTTTAGCGTGACTTCCCCAGATTGACAGCCCGTAATTAACTCCGGTTCCACCTCCCGAGCTTTCCGAGCTTGCCGAATATCTGTGCGCGTCTTGCCATCTACAAAACCGTAGACATCCCCCGGTTTACAGCCGATCGCTACTTTCTGTTCTTTTCTTCCTACATCGATTATCTTTGTACGAATCGAGGATATCGAGGATATAGACTCAGGCGGGCTCACGACACGACCATAGCGACTCGACATGAGAAACGGCTCTTCTGGAAACCACAACGATGAAGACGGTTATCTTTTCTTCTCGACTTCTGTCACCAAGGACCACCTCCAAGAGTTAGTCTATCGGATCCACAAAGCATACCTATTCTCGTGCGTTTTGTTTTCCCTGTCCAGATGCAAGACTTGGAGCACCAGCACAGTGCTCACTTTTGGTTCTGCAAGAAGCCTTGCAAATTTGTTTGTGCCAGCAAGCTGCTTGTGCACTGAGCGCCATCTATCCTTTTGGCCATATCGAGAGACAGCTTGCCGTCGACATAATTTGCCTTCTTCCTACACTGTGTTCGCCACCTCCCAGCCGTCCAGAAGCCATCTTGCAGCATCCGCTTCAACCGCGCGTACCATGCAATACGGCATGTTATTCAGACCAACTGGTATTTTATCGACTCCCCGATGACACCTGATTCGATTCACGCCACTTGCAAAGACCATTTGGACTGGTGAATGGCGACCCGCCAACACCTTCCAGAAGAAGTACACGAGCTCGACGACCTACATAGACAGATTTGACAGTCCCGGACCCGTTTGCGCCAGAGCAAATAGGGCAGCTGTCGACGACCCTTGGTGACCCTCGGTGAAGTCCGATGTGTACCATCTCCTTTCGATTTTGGCATCAGCTCCAACTGCGGCCTCCGACGGGCTCTCGATGGGTTGCACCCAACTCAACACCCACGCCAAATCTTTTGCCCTCCACCGTCATTTCGAGGGTCGTGTAAGCAGACGGTAATGTCTGTCATGCCGAGGAGGCCTGGCACGATATGAATGACCATTTGTTGCTCCATGCTGGCGAATGTGCGCCCGGCGTCATAACGTTTCCCAATTGTGGAGGGCAGCTCAAAAAGACGAATAACACTTTTTTGGTGGCGGCTGCCAAACATTGGAAACGCAGTGTACCTCACCTCGACGATTCCAACAAGCCTGACCAGGGTTTCTTTGTCCTCCGGCAACTTAGCCAGGTAATTCATCCATCTCTCCGGTCTTATTTTGATACAGAGGGAGTAAACGAAGATCGGTGTGCCGTCACCAATGAACATACGACAGAAGGCACACATATCAATGATGGTTGCCTAACACTCGGTCATTGGTGATCGAGATGATTGGCGACTTGCAGCGTCGGGGTCGTATTTCCAACCGCCGTGTCGCTTATTCTTTCTTGCCGGAGGCATAAAACAGTGTCCCAAACTCCGGGGTGCGCACACAACGAGGCAGGGCTGAAAGATAGGATCCGGGCGATTCAATGCATATATAAATGACATTCCCTCCTCCCCCAAAACGACCTCAAGCTTTTAAATCCCCATCGAATTCTGCTGCGGCACAGCTCGCCGTGGGTTGGGTGACTTCAGATTCGTGCATTTGTGGCTCGTCGACAGTACCATTTTCCCGGGAAAATTGATACGAAGGAGACCATGTTCGCCTTTATCCAAACTCGAACCCATCGTTATACCCGGTTTTACTCGCTATCCCGCTCTCCTTGTCGTCACATGGTTCGTTTACCGTTTGTGTGTTGCACTTTGTTGTCGTGTCGGAGGTTGATATATATTTCTTTATTATGCCAATTGTGTAATATGCCCAGGATTACCGGAAAGAGAGGAACAGAAAAAAAAGATACACAAGAAAAGATACTCAAAACAAGACCACTATTACCAAGATAGGACAAAGAGCAAGGTATGCAACAAAATCAAAAAAAAAAAATACCGCAACACAATGCTAAATCACTACAGAAATAAAACAGTGTCGTATCCTCATCCTCGGCGTCGAGTCAAGGTCCCGCCCCGGTCATACGATTTTCGACAGCTTGAGGAGACCGCCCTCTGTGGACGACAACGACGACCGCGACCCGCGCGCACACCCGTAGCACCACGTCAGCAGACGGTTCACGATAAACAGGCCGATGATGAGGCCGATGGCGCCCATGCCGAACCAGGTCCAGGGCCGGGTGCCGATCCACATGAGGGCCTTGGCGTCGCCCTGGTGCCAGGTGGCGCTCTCGAGGTCGGTGATGAAGGGGTTGAGCTCGGTCCCGTTGATGACGCCAATGGTGCGGGCGTGCAGGGCGTAGGGCGGGGTCTGCAGATAGTCCTTGACGACCATGGTCAGGAACATGGGGCCGGCGGAAATCATGATGACGGCGTACGGCTGCCAGCGGGCCCAGAAGTGGGTGAGGGCGTTGTAGAGCGGCAGCTGGGCAATGGCGGACGCATAGGCCGGGTGGCGGGCGGAGGCGATCATAAAGTCGTTGGTGATGCCGGTGGGCAGCGTGGACTTGAAGAGGGCGCGGTGCTGGGCGGCGTCCGAGGTGTCGTCGGGGGTGGCCTCGATGCGCTCGAGCGGGAAGCTCGCGTTGCACCACGTGTCCATGTCGAGGTAGATGCCGCCGTAGTGGTACAGGACAAAGTAGCGGATAGCGTCGGCGCGCTGGATGGGGAATACGTAGTTGTCCCAGACGTCGACGAACCAGGGATACTCCTCGGCAAGGAACGCGCGAGCCGACGCATCGGTCCAGAGCTGAAGAAACACGTTAGCAAGACATAAAGGGGTCTTGTGCCTTATCGACAGGGGAGGGGGCTTACCTTGTACTCAAAGCCCGTGTAGGCGTCCTTGCACGACTGCTGCGACGCGCGCCACTTCTCCGGGACCACATCGGTGGCCGTTGTCTGGTGCAGAATGCGCGGGATGGCGTTGCGCTTCGCGGCGGGCGGCGGCGGCGGTGGCGGCGGGAGCGGCACGCCGAGCGTGTTCTTGGCGGCGGTGACGCCGGCCGGGTCCCAGGCGTCGACGCTGGACGGGCCCGAAAGCACGACGCGGGGGCCAAAGAACTCCTTGTTGCGGCGCAGCAGGGTGATGAGGGGCTCAAAGGCCACGAGAAGGACGACGATGATCAGCAGGTCAATCAGCAGCAGCGTGGTGGTGCTTCGCCGCAGCCGACGCGCGAGCAGGGACAGGATGTTGCGGTGGCGTGGTGTTTGTGATGGCGAGTCGGGCCAGGCGGCCGTGTGCGACGAGGACGAAGAGTGCGAGGTGGAGGACGAGAGGGACGACAGTGACGACAGCGAGGGCGAACTCCAGGACGGGCGGTCGTGGTCGTGGCGGTCCTTGTCGTTGTCGACGAGCTCGTAGCGCGCCGGCGACACCATGCCACGGACGTAGCCCCAGAGAGACGGCATGGTGGAGGGGGTCGTGTGGCTGCCGGGAGAAGAGAGAAGAGGAGTCGTGTGACTTGGCGACAATTGACGGTCGGAGATAGTTGTTTCGGGACAACGTCGACGTTGCAAACGGCAGGCGCAAATGTGACGGACGATACGCCTGCTGGGAGCGCCGATTCAAAAAGGGAAGGACGTGCCGCAATAAGGGAGAAGTCGTGGAAGGCAGTCGTGGTGGAATTGGGTGAAAAGGGGGAAGGAGCAGAGAGGGAAAGTGAAGAACAAGGGATAAAGAGGGAAGGAGAGAAAACAGACGAGAGGGAAAGAAGGAAAATGAAAAGACACACAAACAATTGTGTCAGTCGCGAAGCATCTCGAGTATTGGGGAAAGGGAGAAGCAAAAACGAACAAAAGGAACAATAGGAACAAGAGCAAAAAGGAACAAAAAGAACAAGAGAAGAAGGCCGTTTGCTTTTCAGACTGGATCTTTGCACGACAAAACGAGCCAAGACAAGAACGAGCAAAGGAGCAAAGGAGCCAACCACTAAGACCAGGGGACTCGCGAAAACCCACTTGTCTAAGACGTCCAGGACGTCCAGAATACAACATACAATGTGCGCCCTGAAAATGGAAACGGGCCCCACGAAAATTGAGAAAGCGCCGCGGAAAAAAAAAATCACAAGACGGATGGCGGAGACTGCAGGCGTGCTTCAGGCGCCACAGTCACGCTGCAGTGGCCCTGCCTGCCGACGTCAGCGTGCACATGGCCCCTGAGAGAACCGAGAAATGGACGCCACTGGTCGGACGATGGCCAGAGATGGTCGAGAAACGGTCCAGAGGCGACAGGCGACTCCGTCATGCTAAGCTTCGCTTGGCGCCAAACACGCGTGTTGTGGTGGTTTCTTTTCGTTGCCCGTCCTCTTTGCCCTGGTACGTACTCTTTACTCCAAATCGTCCCTCCGGAAATTGGATCCCAATCCACCGTTTTGCCATGTATTGCCGGCTTTCCATGCCTGTCAGCCTCCTGTATCTTAACTTTTATCTGTCTTACGTGCAATCTCGCCCCATCCTGCAGTTATCATTTCTCGTCGTCTCTTCCACAGCACACTTTTCGCTCTGCGGTGAATGGAACCTTTTGTCTTTGTTGGTCATTTCCGCTTTCTCCCTCAGCGCCATTGAGAACTTGTATTTCCAAGTCTCTTTGCTGCCAGAGGGCGATTACGGGGACACAGAACCTATGAGTCGGACAAGGGCGCAACTTGGACGCTTAGGGGTGCAGACGGTCGGTTGGGCAAGGCGGGGCGACGCGCTAGCGGGTTTAGGGTTAGGGATCTGTTGTTAGGGAGGGGATGTTGTACGCAGTTTTTTGTAGGTTGTAGTTCCTTTCTTTTTGTCTTTTGAACAAAAAATAAATAAATTAAATTCAAAAAATCACTGATTCGTTTACTTCGTTGGAGTATTTCTCCCACTGTCTTCTTAGGCCTAATTTGCCTTTGCAGATCCACCTCTGACAGCTTTTCCATTCGAAACACTTGTTGACTTGGAACCCGCCCCAGCGCAACGCGCCAAGAAAGGGGGCCTCGGGGGCCTCCTACTTTCAAGACGGAATGACGACAACCACTCAAAATACGGTCGGTCGCAGCAACTCGCCTAAAGTCGCCTGCAACACGGCGTGCTCCGTTCTCTGCTTCCGGCACCCCTTCTCCTTATTCTGTTAGGCCTTAACTGTGAACAAAAATAAAATAAAGTAAAAATAAAAATAAAAGCAAACACACCCAACGGCATGTCGGCGCGTGTTTGCACCGTCTTGCGCAATCAACTCGAACTGAGACACTGAAACTGGACTTTGGCCCTGCAGTTGTCTGAGTTGTTTGCTGACAACCCGACAACACAACCCGGAAACAGGGTTCTTGACTTCTCGACCACCACTGGCTGAGCCTCGATGGCGACGACGTCTTTCGCCGCAGCAAAGCACTGCAGTTCACCATGTGTCGTAGCGGTGCGATTGTGCGAGACAGGAGAACCAGACGACCCGGGCTTCCATTGTCGCTTCTGTCCTTCTGCAGAGTTTCCGGGCCGGCGGTTTTGTGCTGTATCCAGTCCCGTTTTCCCCTGATCCCGTACCCAGACTCCATATCCGTACCACAAGTCCGACGGCTTTCCATTCATTGCCTCGCATTCATGCCCCTATTTTGTCGTCAGGCCCATGCACACTCACACACGTTTTGATTCGTCTCTGCGTCTGATTCGTTCCGTTCACAAATCCGAGTTGCCTCTTTTGATAGCATTCGTCATTCTGCATGTTGGTTTTGCATTTCCTATTTCTCCTTTTGGCTTCGCCTACGACTCGCACGCTCGCCCGGCTTCTCACTTCCGACGTTGGTACGTCGTCATCACTGAGCATTCCTAGAGTCTTTCGGCCACTTACCCAATTTGTTTTCCACTGTACTCCTTGGTGAGAGTACTGTGGTAATTACAAAAACACCGACGAGCACATGAGCCGCAAACCCGGCCTCTTTCGCCTCGTTAGACCAGATGACGTTGCAAAGTGTGCGAGAAGTAGAAAAACGATAAGACCGTGTGCGTAGACAAGGTATGTAAGAGTGCTACTGTTCTGTTGATATCAGAATCGTATTTACTCCGTGCAGCGTGTCTGAAAACATTGGTAACCTGGTAACGTATCGCACAACATGAGCTGATGAGGTGCCTTCGTCTGATCTACCCCTCTTCTCCCCTCCTCTACGACGTCTGTACGTATCTGTCTTTTATCATAACCTGGTCGGCACCTCGATGCTACGATACGACAGTGTTCTATGGTCAGGCTGGTGAGGATGGAGAACGAACAAAACGGAACGAAAGCGATAGCGACGGAGACTAAACGGAGTAAACGGACTAAACGGACTAAAAGCCTACTGTGAAGAAACGAACATCGTAGAGACAAGAAAACGGCAACAGCGGCCCAGACGGCAGGGCCATGTGGGTACGTTCATGTTGCCGAACCGGCCAATCAGCGTCGTGGTGACGCGTGGATAAATTGCGTTTTTGTGGGTCACTTGTGGGGATTCATTGGCCAAAAACCCAACAAACGACAAAAAAGACGTTCCCTAATTCAGAAGGTGACGCGGCCGTCACAGCAAGGTCCCCCAGATCGCTTCCAGGTTTTCCTACTTTTGTCGTCTTCGTTGGTCTTTGCCGTTCGATGTCTTGGCCAACAGGCCCAACACCTAAACCAAGCCTCCAAGCCTCACCAATGTGCATTTCCTTGTTTCGCACAACGCCAGGGTTGATGGCAATCGAATACAAACGCCAGCATCGGAATGTCGATCTGCAGAGTCGATTGTCTTGGCACTCTCTAAAATACATCGTAGATGTCCATACCACAAGGAGTACTCATTAGGGCGAGGCTGCCCGCCAACTGCACAGCTGCCTCGAGTCGTTGGGTTGTCCAGTGTCTCAACTAGAAAGCTTAACATCCAGACTGCCAGTCCGGTGTTCTCCAAGCATTTAACTTCACCAATGTTGACAGCGGCGGTGGAAACTGCGACCTCTGAACATCCACAACCACATAGCATTGACAACCAGACAACGTAGTCTCACAACGGGTTTCCGCCCCATTCTCCATATACTTGCCCCTTTTACCTCCTGGGCTGTTCCTGCGTCTTTGCCCTGCGTCTGCTGTACGCCGGTCACGTTGTACCCACTCACCTGTGGTCCCCTGCATTGTCCATCTCACACTGCATTGTCCACGGCAGCTTGCTCTGCTTTCGTCGTGGACCGTTTTGAGAAGACGAAAAGCGTGGAGGACAAGTGCAACTGCCCCTACTCTATTGCACCTCAAAGGAAGACGGTGCGTTTTTCATTTGGTATGTGCCTTTCTCGCTTCCAACATGTGCTTCTCCGCTACATAGTGATACGCTGGACGTTACGCATTACGCGTGTTTCTATTTTTGCTCTTGCCGGGCAATAAGATCAACAGATCTCCCAGGAATAAGAAATCATCTCAAACTCAAACGTCAATAACAAGCATAAGCATTAGCATCATATCATCATATCATATCATCACGTTGCTCCACTCATTCTTCGGTAAACCTCAGCCTCAAAGCCATTTTTGAGATTTGGGCATAAACAAAGCCGGTCTTGTCAATCAGTGACAGACATTTGATAGAGGACGGAATCGAGGGACTTTCCTTGAATACCATCAGGACCATGGACCCTGGCGGCCGGCGTCGGTAGGTGCTGGAAATCTCGACAGAGGCAATCTCTCAGTGCAGGTAGTCGATCACGAGACATGCATCGTCAAGCGTGCGCATCGCCTTGGCCAGGTACTTACGCCATGTGCAATCCGTCTTACCTGAAACAGCTGGCTGTTGGGCGCAGTGATCACGATGCTATCGATGGCAAATGTATATTCGCCCGGCGTGTTGGCCCCAGACGGTTGGCCGCCTCGTTGTTGACGATGACGGCGAGGATCCGGAGAGGGACGATTGATGAGAGGATGATGAAGGTAACGTAAAGAGAGGCGGCGTGCGTCCATGCCAACCGTTATGCTACCGAGACTATTACCAACCAACTCGAGACATAGGTCCAGCCCCAAATCGCGGGAGTGTAGAGCCAGTAGTATTGTCTGGTGACAGAAAATGTGTTTATTCGAAGAAGATACAGCTGCATGCTCAACATGTTGTAGGCCTGCAGATGACCGGTCAGTCCTTTTTTATTTTATTTTATTTCTTCTTCTTCTTCTTCTTTTTCTGTAAAAAAAAAAACACAAATGTATATGTCATAAATAAAATAAAGACAATAAGAGTACTCACGAACACAGTTCAGGAAGCAAAGAAGCATCATTTGAAAAGAATACTTGGCTATTTGCATTGTTTACATCCAAAGAGTACCATTACAGCAACCCTCGATACTGTCACGGGAACCGATTCCATATGGCCGTCTCTCCTCTTTTTTTCTGAAAATATAATGCATGTATGTCATCTAATTTATGTATGCATAGCCGTATTGTGTGATGTTAATAAAGATAAAGAATTGCGCGCAGGTCGTCCCTGCTTCACTTTCTTTTTGTAATAAGGCTGAAGAGGTGGATCCAAACCAAACTAGCGCTGTTTTGGTGCCTTGAGTTCGACCAGTGTATCTTAGTGTTTGGTTGCCACAATTTAACGACATGTCGACCTCACTCCGCGACGCTTCTTCTGTCCCCATTTCGCTTTCCGACACCGCAGTTGTCCACCAGCCTCACCACCACAGAATGGCCACAGATGGACCGGCACCGACAACAATAGAGGACGCGCCCGTGTTAGCGTTTACGCGCCTCACGCCGCCGGCCCAGTCGGACTCGGCCAATACAGAGAGCTCGGCGTCCCCTCCTCCGGCTGTTGTTTTTCTCCACGGCGCCGAGTCCTGCCATCTTGAGTTTACACGCGTGGCTGCGTTTCTGGAGGCCGACTACGACCTTTTGCTTGTTGACCTGCCGGGCCACTCGCGGTCCAGGCACATTCCCTTTAGTTTTGACAACACCATCCGTGGGCTGGCCCGACTCGTCACCAACCACGTGGTCGCTCAAAAAGCCCACGTTGTCGGTCTGTCGCTGGGCGGCTTCCTTGCCCTCGAATGGGCCCGCCGCCTCCCGGACCAGGTCCTCTCTGTCTGGTGCACCGGCTGCAGCCCCTTTACCGGCACGCGCCTGTGGTTTATGCAGCACCCGCGGCTGCTGAGCGGCCTCGTGACGCTGGCCGGGCAGCTGGCGACGGAGCGCATCTTTTGGGCGACGCTGGGCGGCGCACAGCCCATCCCCGGGCTCCGGGAGGAGGTGCAAAGGAACCAGAACATGGCAACGCTGCGGCCAGCGTACGAGGAGCTGGCCCTCGTCACAAACGACAACCTGGCGGCCATCCGCGGAAGCGTGCGCGTGGCGATTGTGGCCGGCGCCAAGATGGACAACGTGGACGATACGGCGGCCGCAGGCGTTGTCTTGCGGCGACAGAACGCGGCCAGTGGCGCGTACGTCGTGCGCAACGCCATCCACTGGTGGTCGCTTCAGTTCCCGGAGCTGTTTGCCGAGGGCGTGCGCGCGTGGATCGAGGGCCGGCCGATGCCCGACGAATATGAGCCGTTGATGTGATGGCGGGCATCAAGACGTTGTTACTTCCCGGCACCAGTCATCGTACTTTTGCTCTACTGTGGTTGTCCACAACGCAAGTCATGCCCAAGTCAGCGCGGCCACCATTGTACTTGCACCCAATTATATGGTCGTGACGTTTAACGACCTAAAGTCACAGAACGGAGAGGCAATTTAGACGATAGAGTGACGAGTACTCCGTTTTACTGCGTACAGTAATAAAGCTGCAAAGATGCATCTGTTGCTACATGTGCCGAGGCACCGAGTACGACATATTTGTCGACTGGATTGCATTGTCAGCGTGTGTGGCTGGGCATGCGCCGTTATGATTGGTCGTTGCCTGGTGGTTTTTGTCTTGATGTCCCCTTTGCCCCAGAATCACTACAACATACCGTACACCGCATTGTTTCTGCCATTGTGAACAACGGATCGCTGCAAGCAACGGCCGCATCCATGGAGCATGTTGAGGCCAGCAGGATCACCATTCGTATTTGTTTCTTGTCAAATGGGCCGTAGATCGGACAGGCTTTTAAGAACCAAGCATCTATACCCATCAGGCCAAAACGAGCTGCCACACACCCAAACGCCATGAGTTTCGAAAACGAGCAATATGCCGTCGACGACGAGATCGCTGCGTTTTTCACAAAGACACCCGTGAGCCGCGAGGCGTGCGACAGCCTGGCCAAAGAACTGGTCGGCGGCGACAGCGTCGTCCCGGTCGCGGTGCAGGGCGGTTGTTCGTACACCGTCTACGCCGGCCATGAGTTAAGCCATGTCGTTCAGTTTCGCCTCAAGTCGCTCGAGCTCAAGGGACAGACGGCGGCTCTCGCCCGACGCATATTCGGGGCCTTGGTGCCCGACGTGTCTTTCCGGCGGCAGCTCGGCGACGCGTCCATGGCCGGGGCGGGCCAAGAGCCACTGCTCGTGTACACGATGACGCGCATACGAGGGATAAGCCGCCTGGACTTTGTGCTCGCACACGGCTTCCCCGAAAACTCACCGACCAACAAGGCCCGACGGAAGACTCTGATCAAGGATGTGGCAAGGT